GGCCCCCAGTGTCACCCCCAATGTCCCCAGGTCCTCCCCAATGTCCCCAGTGTCCCCCCCAGTGTCACCAGTCCAGGTAAAGGACACAGGTTTATTTCCAGTACCCCCCCCACGCTCCCAGTACAGGGGGGCCACTGGGACCAGTGGGACACTGCTGGTGTCCCCAGGTGGTGGCACCAGCCCCGCCCCCTCCCAGAGCCCCCCCGGGGGACAGAGAGGGGACGGGGGGGGACAAAGGGGACAAAAAGGGGGACAAGGGGGGAATGGGAGGGGACGATGGGGGGGACAAGAGGGCACAAAGAGGGGACACGGGGACCCCCCCCAGGTTCCAGAGGCAGCGGCGGCGAAGGCACCGGTGAGGCTTTAAAAAACCGCGGAGAAAATCCCGCGGGAATTCCCAAAAATCCCGCGGGAATTCCCAAAAATCCCGCGGGAATTCCCAAAAATCCCGCGGGAATTACAAAAACCCTGCGGGAATTCCCAAAATCCTGCAGGAATTCCAAAAATCCGGCGGGAATTCCCAAAAATCCTTCAGGAATTCCCCAAATCCTGCAGAATTCCAAAAATCCTGCGGAACATCCCAAAATCCCGCGAGAATTCCCAAAATCCCGCGGGAATTGGGAGAAAGTGTCCAGGGGTGGCGGGGACGGCTTCACACCAGGAACGAGGAGGTTTGCTTGAACTCGCCCTGCGGGGACACGGGGACAGCCATGGGGCCATCAGTGGGGACATTGATGAGGACATGGGGACAGCCATGGGGACACGGGGACAGGCATGGGGACATCAGTGGGGACAGGGACGGGGACACAGGGACATCGATGGGGACAGCCAAGGGGACAGCCATGGGGACATCAGTGGGGACACGAGGACATCGATGGGGACAGCCATGGGGACATGGGGACAGCCATGGGAACATTGATGAGGACATGGGGACATTGATGGGGACAGCCATGGGGACATGAGGACATTGATGAGGACATGGGGACAGCCATGGGGACATCAGTGGGGACATGGGGACATTGATGAGGACATGAGGACATTGATGGGGACAGCCATGGGGACACGGGGACATTGATGGGGACAGGGACGTCCATGGAGACATTGATGGGAACATGGGGACAGCCATGGGGACATGGAGACATCGATGGGGACAGCCATGGGGACATCAGTGGGGACACTGGGACATTGATGGGGACATGGAGACATGGGGACAGCCATGGGGACATTGATGGGGACATCCATGGGGACAGGGACAGTGATGGGACATCAATGGGGACATCAGGGACAATAACGGGACATTAACAGGGACATCAGTGGGGAACAGAGGGACACCACTGGGGACACAGGGGCACTAAAAGGGACATCAGAGGGGACAATGGGACATCAATGGGGACATCAATGGGGACAGGGAGCCCCCTCCCTCCAGCACCACCCCCAGGGACACCGGGGACATTAATAGGGACATGGTGACATCACTGGGGACATGGTGACATCACTGGGGACATCACTGGGGACATGGTGACATCCATGGGGACACCACGGGTGACACCATCCCCCCCCAGGACCCTCCTGCCAAGGGACACCGGGGTGTCCCTCTGCCTCTGGGGTGTCGCCGCCAGGGCGGTGGCAGGTCCCGGTGTCCCCGCGGTGTCCCCGCGGTGTCCCCGCGTCCTCACCTCGCTGCGCCGTGAGGGCTGGCTGTAAATCACCTTCTTCCCGCCGGCACTGCGGGAAAATCGGGATTTTTGGGAAGTGCCACCCCGCTGTGTCCCCTCTGTCCCCACCGAGGGGACACCCCAGGGACAGGGGTGACACCGGGGTGACACCGAGGTGACACCGGGGGGGGGGTGGGGTCACCCAGGAGGAGGAGGAGGTGGCTCTGGTGTCACTCACTCTGTTTTTTCTGGAAAAAAGAGGAAAAACGGGGATCAGGGAGGGGAGGGGACACGGGGGGGACGTGACTGGGACACGGGGACTGGGACGTGGGGACATCCCCAGGGACAGGGGCCATTCCCAGTCCCTCCCAGTCCCCCCCAGTCCATCCCAGTACCCCCCAGTTCATTCCCAGTCGCCCCAGTTCCATTCCCAGTCCCCCCAGACCAGGATCGGGGATCCCACAGGATTGGGGAATCCACAGGGATCAGGGGGATCCAAGGGGATCCCACAGGCTTGGGGGGATCCAATGGGATTGGGGGGGATCCCACGGGATCGGGGGATCCAAGGGGACTGGGGGATTCAAGGGGATCCCACAGTATCAAGGGATCTGGGGGGGATCCAACAGGATTGGGGGATTCAAGGGGATCCCACAGTATCGGGGGATCCAATGGGATCAGGGGATCCAAGGGCATTGGGGGGATCCCACGGGATTGGGGTGATCCAAGGGGATCAGGGGGATCCCATGGGATCTGGGGGATCCAAGGGGATTGGGGAGATCCAAGGGGATCGGGGGGATCCAAAGGGATTGGGGGAGATCCCATGGGATCAGGGGGATCCAAGGGATCGGGGGGATCAGGGGCATCCCACGGGACTGGGGGGGATCCAACAGGATCAGGGGGATCCACTGGGATATGGGGATCCAGGGGGATCCCATGGGATCGGGGGGATCCATGGGGATCAGGAGGGACTGGAGAGATCCCACGGGATCAGGGTGGATCAGGATGAGGATGGGGATTGGGATGGGGATTGGGAATGGGATTAGGATCAGGATTAGGATGGGGATTAGGATTGGGATCAGAATCAGGATTGGGATGAGGATGGGGATTGGGATGGGGATCAGGATTGGAATCAAGATGGGAATTGGGTCTGGGATCAGAATCAGGATTGGGATGGGGATCGGGATGGGAATTAGGAGCAGGATCAGGATTGGGATTGGGATGGGGACTGGGATTGGGATCAGAATCAGGATTGGGATGAGGATGGGGATCGGGATGGAGATTAGGATCAGGATCAGGATTGGGATTGGGATCAGGACGGGGATTGGGATGGGGATTTGGATCGGGATCGGGATCGCTCCTCACTGGCTTCCATGCGGAAGACGTCGGATTTCTGGGGGGTGCCCACGTTGTTGGAGGCCTCGCAGTGATAATCGCCCGTGTCCCAGCCCCCCACGGGCTCAAAGACCTGGAACGGGGCAGGGGTCAGGGAAAAATGGGGAAAAATGGTGAAAAGGGGGGAAAATGGGGGAGAAAGGGGGGGAAATGGGGAGAAAATGGGGGAAAATGGGGAGAAATGGGGGAAAATGGGGGGAAAACAAAGAGGAAAACAGGGATAATGGGAAATGGAGGGAATAGGGAAAAAAAACAGGGATAAAAGGGGGGAAAAGCAGGGGGAAAAATGGGGAGGAAAATGGGGGAAATGAGGAGAAAATGGGGGGAAAATGAGAGGGAAATGAAGGGGGAGTGGAGGGGGGAAAGGGGAGAAATGAGGGCAGGAAAATGAGAGAATTAGAGGATGACGGGGGAAAAGGGAGGAAGAGAGGAAAGCAGGGAAAAGGGACAGGAGAAGGGGAGGAAAACAAGGAAAAGGACAGGGAAAGAGGGAAAGGGAGAGGAAAACAGGGAAAAAGGGCAGGAAAAGAGGGAAAGAGGGAAAGGGAGAGGAAAACAGGGAAAAAGGGCAAGAAATGGGGGAAAGGGAGAGGAAAACAGGGATAAAGGGCAGGAAAATAAGGAAAGAGAGAAAGGGAGAGGGGCAGGAAAAAGGGGAGGGGAAAGGGACAGGAAAAAGGGAGGAAAATAGGGAAAAGGGCAGGAAAAGGGCAGGAAAAGGGGGAAAGGGAGAGGAAAACAGGGATAAAGGGCAGGAAAATAAGGAAAGAGAGAAAGGGAGAGGGGCAGGAAAAAAGGAAGGGGAAAGGAACAGGAAAAAGGGAGGAAAACAGGGAAAAGGAGCAGGGAAAGAGGGAAAAGGGGCAGGAAAAGAGGGCAAAGGGCAGGAAAAGAGGGAAAGGGCAGGAAAAGGGGGAAAGGGAGAGGAAAACAGGGAAAAGGGCAGGAAAAGGGGGAAAGAGAGGGTGAAGGGCAGGAAAGGGGCACGAACACAGGGAAAGGAGCAGGAAAAGGGGGAAAGGGAGAGGAAAAAAGGGAAAAGGACAGGAAAAGGGAGAGAAGAACAGGGAAAAGGGGCAGGAAAAGAGGGAAAAGGACAGGAAAACAGGGAAAAGGGCAGGAAAAGACGAGAGGAAGAGGGAGAGGGAGAGGGAGAGGGGCACGCCTGCCCCGGCACTGACCAGCTCCCCCGAGCGCGGGTCCAGGCTGTAGGAGGAGTTGCGGAAGGCGGGGCTGGATTTGGGGTCCTGGGGCAGCTCGGTGCCGTCCTTGTACCAGCGGAAGGTGGGGGGCGGCGAGCCCTGCGCCTCGGAGCAGCGCAGCACCGCCCGCGCGCCCACCGTGGCAGAGCTGGGCACGTGTGCCAGCGGCTTCCCCGGGGGCACTGCGGGGACAGGGACAGGGATGGCACCGCCCGGGGGGAAAACAAGGGGAAATGGGGGAAAAATGGGAAATGGAGGGAATAGGGAAAAAAAACAGGGATAAAAGGGGGGAAAAGCAGGGGGAAAAATGGGGAGGAAAATGGGGGAAATGAGGAGAAAATGGGGGGAAAATGAGAGGGAAATGAAGGGGGAGTGGAGGGGGAAAAGGGGAGAAATGAGGGCAGGAAAATGAGAAAATTAGAGGATAACGGGGGAAAAGGGAGGAAGAGAGGAAAGCAGGGAAAAGGGACAGGAGAAGGGGAGGAAAACAAGGAAAAGGACAGGGAAAGAGGGAAAGGGAGAGGAAAACAGGGAAAAAGGGCAAGAAATGGGGGAAAGGGAGAGGAAAACAGGGATAAAGGGCAGGAAAATAAGGAAAGAGAGAAAGGGAGAGGGGCAGGAAAAAGGGGAGGGGAAAGGGACAGGAAAAAGGGAGGAAAATAGGGAAAAGGAGCAGGGAAAGGGGCAGGAAAAGGGGGAAAGGTAGAGGAAAACAGGGAAAAGGAGCAGGGAAAGAGGGAAAAGGACAGGAAAAGAGGGAAAGGGAGAGGAAAACAGGGAAAAGGAGAGGAAAACAGGGAAAAGGGCAGGAAAAGAGGGAAAGAGAGAAAGGGAGAGGGGCAGGAAAAAAGGAAGGGGAAAGGAACAGGAAAAAGGGAGGAAAACAGGGAAAAGGAGCAGGGAAAGAGGGAAAAGGGGCAGGAAAAGAGGGCAAAGGGCAGGAAAAGAGGGAAAGGGCAGGAAAAGGGGGAAAGGGAGAGGAAAACAGGGAAAAGGGCGGGAAAAGGTGGAAAGGGAGGGTGAAGGGCAGGAAAGGGGCACGAACACAGGGAAAGGAGCAGGAAAAGGGGGAAAGGGAGAGGAAAACAGGGAAAAGGACAGGAAAAGGGAGAGGAGAACAGGGAAAAGGAGCAGGAAAAGAGGGAAAAGGACAGGAAAAGAGGGAAAGGGAGAAAGGGAAAAGGACAGGAAAAGGGAGAGAAGAACAGGGAAAAGGGGCAGGAAAAGAGGGAAAAGGACAGGAAAAGAGGGAAAAGGACGGTGAAAGGCAGGGAAAGGAGCAGGAAAACAGGGAAAAGGGCAGGAAAAGACGAGAGGAAGAGGGAGAGGGAGAGGGAGAGGGAGAGGGAGAGGGAGAGGGGCACGCCTGCCCCGGCACTGACCAGCTCCCCCGAGCGGAGAGGGAGAGGGAGAGGGAGAGGGAGAGGGAGAGGGAGAGGGGCACGCCTGCCCCGGCACTGACCAGCTCCCCCGAGCGCGGGTCCAGGCTGTAGGAGGAGTTGCGGAAGGCGGGGCTGGATTTGGGGTCCTGGGGCAGCTCGGTGCCGTCCTTGTACCAGCGGAAGGTGGGGGGCGGCGAGCCCTGCGCCTCGGAGCAGCGCAGCACCGCCCGCGCGCCCACCGTGGCAGAGCTGGGCACGTGTGCCAGCGGCTTCCCCGGGGGCACTGCGGGGACAGGGACAGGGATGGCACCGCCCAGAGTCACCGTGGGGATGGTGACAGCACCACCCGGAGTCACCACAGGGACAGGGACAGGGACAGTGATGGCACTGCCCAGAGACACCCAGACATGGGACAGGGACGGTGATGGCACTGCCTGGAGTCACCACGGGGACAGGGACGGGGATGGCACCACCCGCGCGCCCACCGTGGCAGAGCTGGGCACGTGTGCCAGCGGCTTCCCCGGGGGCACTGCGGGGACAGGGACGGCACCGCCCGGAGTCACCACGGGGACAGGGACGGTGATGGCACTGCCCAGAGTGACCCCAGGGACGGTGACAGCACTACCCGGAGTCATCCCAGGGACAGGGACGGTGATGGCACCGCCCAGAGTCACCACGGGGACAGGGACAGGGATGGCACCGCCCAGAGTCACCACGGGGACAGGGATGGTGATGGCACTGCCCAGAGTCACCGTGACATGGGACAGGGACAGTCATGGCACTGCCTGGAGTCACCACAGGGACAGGGAAAGTGATGGCACCGCGGAGAGTCACCATGGGGACAGGGACAGGAGCAGTGACAGCACTGCCCGGAGTCACCGTGACAATGGCAGGGACAGTGACCAGCACCACACAGAGCCACCCCAGGGATGGAGACAAGGCCAGGGCTGGGGACAGGGGACAAGGCCGGGGCTGGGGACAGGGGACAAGGCTGGGGCTGGGGACAGGGGACAAGGCTGGGGCTGGGGACAGGGGACAAGGCCGGGGCTGGGGACAGGGGACAAGGCCGGGGTTGGGGACACGGTGGCCTCACCCTGGACGATGAGGTTGACCTCGGACTTGGCGATGTGGCTGCCATCCCCCACCACCTCGCAGATGTACTTCCCGCTGTCCTCGCGCGTCACCGACTGGAACCGGATGGACGTGGGCGAGAACTGGACACGGTCCCGGTACGGCTCTGGGGGACACCGAGCTGGGACACCGGGGACAGCACGGGGACACCCCCATGGCCCCACAGTGACCCCCCGGTACGGCTCTGGGGGACACCGAGCTGGGACACCGGGGGACAGCACGGGGACACCCCCATGGCCCCACAGTGACCCCCCCCCAGTGTCCCCACGGGCTCAGGGCCTCTCTGATGTCCCTACAGAGCCCTGTGGTGTCCCCCAATGTCCCTGCTGCCCCCAGTGTCCCCAGTATCCCCAATGTCCTCGCTGTCCCTAATGCCACCAGTATCCCCTGATGTCCCCAATGTCCCTGCTGTCCCCAGTGTCCCCTGATGTCCCCAGTGTCCCCGCTGTCCCCCGCTGTCCCCCCGTGTCCCCGTACCCGTGAGCTCCCCCCCGTAGTAGATCAGTGCCAGGGACGAGCCCCTCTGGAACTTCCACTCGATGCGGGCGCTGCCGGAGCTGGAGCGGAACGCGGCGCAGCGAATCTCCACGGCTGGGGCGGAACGGGAGCGGGGCAGAACCGGGTCAGAATCGGGTCAGAATCGGGGCAGAACCGGGGCAGAACGGGAGCGGGGCAGAACCAGGGCAGAACCGGGTCAGAACCGGGTCAGAACCGGGGCAGAACGGGAGCGGGGCAGACAGAACCGGGTCAGAAAGAACCGGGGCAGAACCGGGTCAGAACGGGACAGGTCAGAACGGGAATGGGTCAGACAGAACCGGGGCAGAACCAGGTCAGAACGGGAGCGGGGCAGAACTGGCTCAGACAGAAGCGGCTCAGACAGAGCCAGGTCAGACAGAGCCAGGGTCAGACAGAACCGGGCCAGAACCGGGTCAGACAGAACCGGGTCAGAAAGAACCGGGGCAGAACCGGGTCAAACGGGACAGGTCAGAACAGGAATGGGTCAGACAGAACCGGGGCAGAACCGGGTCAGAACGGGACAGGTCAGAACGGGAATGGGTCAGACAGAACCGGGGCAGAACCAGGTCAGAACGGGAGCGGGGCAGAACTGGCTCAGACAGAACCGGCTCAGACAGAGCCAGGTCAGACAGAGCCAGGGTCAGACAGAACCGGGGCAGAACGGGAGCAGGGCAGACAGAACCAGGTCAGAACCGGGTCAGACAGAACCGGGGCAGAACGGGAGCAGGGCAGACAGAACCAGGTCAGAACCGGGTCAGACAGAACCGGGTCAGAACAGGACCGGGTCAGACAGAACCGGAATCGGGTCAGACAGAACCGGGTCAGACAGAACCGGCTCAGAACCGGCTCAGAACAGAACCAGAACCGGGTCAGACAGAACTGGGGTCAGACAGAACCGGGACCGGGTCAGACAGAACCAGGACTGGGCTCGGCCAGAACCAGGACCAGGAATGGGCTCAGCCAGAACCGGGCTCAGCCAGAACCCGGCTCAGCCAGAACCGGGCTCAGCCCAAACTCCGCTCTGTCAGAACCAGGATCGGTTCTGGGACCACCCAAACCGGGACCACCCAAACCAGGCTGGCCCCAAACCGACCCCCCCAAACCTCCCTGGGTGGAGCCCCCCCTGCCGGGTTCGGGGTGGTGACACCACGGGGACACCGGGGACACTCACGTTTGTGCTCCGGCACTTCCTGGTCCTCCGAGGTCACCTGGGCTGCGGCCAGCGCGGCTGCGGGGACACCGGGGCGGGAATGTCACCGGGACACCGGGGCGGGGACATTACCGGGGACAGCGGGCTGGGGACGTCACCGGGACACCGGGGCGGGAATGTCACCGGGACACCGGGGTGGGGACGTCACCGGGACACTGGGGCGGGAATGTCACAGGGACACCGGGGTGGGGACGTTACTGGGGACACTGGGGCGGGAATGTCACCGGGGACAGCGGGGTGGGGACGTTACCAGGGACACCAGGGTAGGAATGTCCCCGGGGACACCGGGGTGGGGACATTACCGGGGACAGCGGGGAGGGACGTCACCGGGACACCGGGGTGGGGACGTCACCGGGAGGCCGGGCAGGGCCACCGGGAGGTCACCGAGAGCTGGGGCAGGGCCACCGGGGCCAGGAGGTCACCGGGAGCCCCGGGCATGGCCACCAGGAGGTCACCGGGAGCTGGAAAATCCTGTCCGGCCACTCCCGCCCTGCCCAGCTCCTGCCCAGTTTCTGCCCAGTTCTTTCCCAGTTTCTGCCCAGTTCCTGCCCAGTCTCTGCTCAGTTGTTTCCCAGTTCCTGCCCAGTTCTTTCCCAGTTCTTTCCCAGTTTCTGCCCTGTTCTTGCCCAGTTTTTGCCCATTTTCTACACATCTTCTACCCAGTTCCTGCCCAGTTCTTTCCCAGTTTCTGCCCTGTTCTTGCCCATTTTCTACCCAGTTTCTACACAGTTCCTGCCCAGTTTCTGCCAGGTTCTTTCCCAGTTTCTGCCCAGTTCTTTCCCCATTTTCTATCCAGTCTCTGCCCATTTCCTGCCCAGTTTTTGCCCATTTTCTACACAGCTTCTACCCAGTTACCACGCAGTTCCTGCCCACTTTCTACCCAGTTCTTTCCCAGTTTCTATCCAGTTCTTTCCCAGTTTCTGCCCAGTTTTTTGCCCATTTTCTACTCAGTTTCCACACAGTTTCTGCCCAGTTCCTGCCCAGTCTCTGCTCAGTTGTTTCCCAGTTCCTGCCCAGTTCTTTCCCAGTTTCTGCCCAGTTCTTTCCCCATTTTCTATCCAGTCTCTGCCCATTTCCTGCCCAGTTTTTGCCCATTTTCTACACAGCTTCTACCCAGTTACCACGCAGTTCCTGCCCACTTTCTACCCAGTTCTTTCCCAGTTTCTATCCAGTTCTTTCCCAGTTTCTGCCCAGTTTTTTGCCCATTTTCTACCCAGTTTCTACACAGTTCCTGCCCAGTTCTTTCCCAGTTTCTGCCCTGTTCCTGCCCAGTTTGTGCCCATTTTCTACCCAGTCTATGCCCAGTTCTCTCCCAGTTTCTGCCCATTTTTTGCCCAGTTTCTACGCAGTTCCTGCCTATTTTCTGCCCAGTTCCTGCCCAGTTCTTTCCCATTTCCTATCCAGTTTCTAAGCAGTTTCTGCCCAGTTTCTACCCAGTTCTTTCCCAGTTTCTGCCCTGTTCCTGCCCAGTTTGTGCCCATTTTCTACCCAGTCTATGCCCAGTTCTCTCCCAGTTTCTGCCCAGTTTCTGCCCATTTTTTGCCCAGTTTCTACGCAGTTCCTGCCTATTTTCTGCCCAGTTCTTTCCCAGTTCCTGCCCATTTCCTGCCCAGTTTCACAGGAAACCGCCGGGAATGTCGCAACTCCCGGAGCTCCGCGTGCGCGGGGACACGCCCGTGTCCCCCCCGGTGTCCCCCCGGTGTCCCCCCGGGGGACACCGGGGCGGGAATGTCACCGGGACACCGGGGTGGGGACGTCACCGGGACACTGGGGCGGGAATGTCACAGGGACACCGGGGTGGGGACGTTACTGGGGACACTGGGGCGGGAATGTCACCGGGGACAGCGGGGTGGGGACGTTACCAGGGACACCAGGGTAGGAATGTCCCCGGGGACACCGGGGTGGGGACATTACCGGGGACAGCGGGGAGGGACGTCACCGGGACACCGGGGTGGGGACGTCACCGGGAGGCCGGGCAGGGCCACCGGGAGGTCACCGAGAGCTGGGGCAGGGCCACCGGGGCCAGGAGGTCACCGGGAGCCCCGGGCATGGCCACCAGGAGGTCACCGGGAGCTGGAAAATCCTGTCCGGCCACTCCCGCCCTGCCCAGCTCCTGCCCAGTTTCTGCCCAGTTCTTTCCCAGTTTCTGCCCTGTTCTTGCCCAGTTTTTGCCCATTTTCTACACATCTTCTACCCAGTTCCTGCCCAGTTCTTTCCCAGTTCTTTCCCAGTTTCTGCCCTGTTCTTGCCCAGTTTTTGCCCATTTTCTACACAGCTTCTACCCAGTTCCTGCCCAGTTCTTTCCCAGTTTCTGCCCAGTTTTTGCCCATTTTCTACCCAGTTTCTACACAGTTCCTGCCCAGTTTCTGCCAGGTTCTTTCCCCATTTTCTATCCAGTCTCTGCCCATTTCCTGCCCAGTTTTTGCCCATTTTCTACACAGCTTCTACCCAGTTACCACGCAGTTCCTGCCCAGTTTCTACCCAGTTCTTTCCCAGTTTCTATCCAGTTCTTTCCCAGTTTCTGCCCAGTTTTTTGCCCATTTTCTACTCAGTTTCCACACAGTTTCTGCCCAGTTCCTGCCCAGTCTCTGCTCAGTTGTTTCCCAGTTCCTGCCCATTTCCTGCCCAGTTCTTTCCCAGTTTCTGCCCTGTTCCTGCCCAGTTTGTGCCCATTTTCTACCCAGTTTCTACACAGTTCCTGCCCAGTTCTTTCCCAGTTTCTGCCCTGTTCCTGCCCAGTTTGTGCCCATTTTCTACCCAGTTTCTACACAGTTCCTGCCCAGTTCTTTCCCAGTTTCTGCCCTGTTCCTGCCCAGTTTGTGCCCATTTTCTACCCAGTTTCTACACAGTTCCTGCCCAGTTCTTTCCCAGTTTCTGCCCTGTTCCTGCCCAGTTTGTGCCCATTTTCTACCCAGTCTATGCCCAGTTCTCTCCCAGTTTCTGCCCATTTTTTGCCCAGTTTCTACGCAGTTCCTGCCTATTTTCTGCCCAGTTCCTGCCCAGTTCTTTCCCATTTCCTATCCAGTTTCTAAGCAGTTTCTGCCCATTTTCTACCCAGTTCTTTCCCAGTTTCTGCCCTGTTCCTGCCCAGTTTGTGCCCATTTTCTACCCAGTCTATGCCCAGTTCCTGCCCAGTTCTCTCCCAGTTTCTGCCCATTTTTTGCCCAGTTTCTACGCAGTTCCTGCCTATTTTCTGCCCAGTTCCTGCCCAGTTCTTTCCCATTTCCTATCCAGTTTCTAAGCAGTTTCTGCCCAGTTTCTACCCAGTTCTTTCCGAGTTTCTGCCCTGTTCCTGCCCATTTTCTGCCCAGTTCCTGCCCATTTCCTGCCCAGTTTCACAGGAAACCGCCGGGAATGTCGCAACTCCCGGAGCTCCGCGTGCGCGGGGACACGCCCGTGTCCCCCCCGGTGTCCCCCCGGTGTCCCCCCGGTGTCCCCCGTGTCGCATCCCCGGAGCTGCGGCACCCCCGCTGCCGGCTTTGGCGCCGGTGACTCATTCCCAGCGGGATTGTCACCGGGAATGTCGCCGGGAACGCCTCGGCCGCCACCCGCCCGCGCCACCTTTGCACCCCGGGGCCGCTGCCAAGCGAAACCCGGGCGGGAAAACCGGGATCGGGGGGGAAAATCGGGATTTTTGGGGGGAAAATTGGGAGTTGGGGGGGAAAAATCGGGATTTTTTGGGGGGAAATTGGGATTTGGGGGGGAAAAATTGGGATTTTTTTTGGGGAAATTGGGATTTGGGGGGGAAAAATGGGATTTGGGACATGGATCTAAAGGGATTCCAACCCCCCAGGTACTGCAGGCAGCTGGTCTGGGGGAAAAATACGGGATTTGGGGGAAAAAATTTGGGATTTGGGGGAAAAATTTGGGATTTGGGGGAAAAATTTGGGATTTTGGGGAAAGAAATGGGATTTGGGGGGAAAAAATGGGATTTGGGACAGGGATTAGGGATTGGGATTAGGGATTGGGATTTGGGATTGGGAGGGCCGCGCCCACCCAGCCAGGTGCCGCTCGGCCACGCCCCCCCCGCGCCCTTATTGGCTGCCCCGCCCGTCGGTTCGAAGCGGCGCGCGGTGATTGGTCGGCGCAGGGACGCCCGCGTGGTTTGATTGGTTAAGGGGAAGGGCGGGGAGAGGCGGCCAATGGGAGAGCGCGCTGTAACTTCTGGCCAATTGCGGCGCGCGGGGGGCGGGGCCTGGCGTTGCCTTGGCGACCGGAGCGGCTCCGGCCGGTAGGGGGCGCTGAGAGCCCGTGCGGGGCTCCCAGTTCGGACCAGTGACCCCCCCCAGGGACCCCCCAGGGACCCCCAGGGCTCCCAGTTCAGACCAGTTCGGACCAGTGACGCCCCCAGGGACCCCCAGGGTTCCCAGTTCGGACCAGTGACCCCCCCAGGATTTTTTTGGGGAAAATTGGGATTTGGGGGAGAAATTGGGATTTAGGGGGAAAAAAATCGAGATTTGGGGGGGAAAAATTGGGATTTGGGGGGAAAAAAATCGGGATTTGCGGGGGGGGGGGGGTGGGATTTGGGGGGTGTTTGGGTGGATTTGGGGAATAAACAAAGCACAGGAACATCCCGTGGGAGTCCGGGATCAGCCTGGAGTCGGGGCCTGCCGGGACCGGGTTTAAATAAACCGGGATTGGGTCAGTCCCGACCCGTTTTGGGTTTAAATAAACCGGGACCGGGTTAAACCCGACCCGTTTTGGGTTTAAATAAACCGGGACCGGGTTAAACCCGACCCGTTTTGGGTTTAAATAAACCGAGTTTGGGTTAATCCCGACCCATTTTGGGTCTAAATAAACCGGGACTGGGTTAGTCCCGACCCGTTTTGGGTCTAAATAAACCGGGATTGGGTCAGTCCCAAACTGTTTTGGGTCTAAATAAACCGAGTTTGGGTTAATCCCGACCCATTTTGGGTCCAAATAAACCGGGATTGGGTCAGTCCCGACCCGTTTTGGGTTTAAATAAACCGGGACCGGGTTAAACCCGACCCGTTTTGGGTCCGAATAAACCGGGACCG